GTCAGAGGGTCAGTACTGAGGGAGTGCCGCACTGTCAGAGGGTCAGTGCTGAGGGAGAGCTGCACTGTTGGAGGGTCAGTACTGAGGTAGCCCTGCACTATTGGAGGTGCTGCCTCTACATTAGCAGAGCCCCTCCTAGAGGCCTCACAGTGTAGAGTATGATGGAGAGTGAGCAGGAGAGTGAGGACAGGCTTGGGCTCAGGGTCTGGGGGTGGACGGTGCTGTGGTGCAGCTGAGATTATGGGGAAAGTGTCTGTGACAGACCAAATCCCAATGCCCCACCCCATACACTACTCCTCCCAACATGGTTCTGAGTGAAAACCGGAGACGGGAAGGAAGGAAGAAAAGGATGGGGAATGGAGAGGGGACGTTACTGAGTGCAGCAGCTGGGAATGTCAGTGTCTGTGTACCCAGTGGATCAAATTCAATCCATCCCATGGAAGCCAGTGCACGTCAGTCTCCCTGATTATTTACACATCTCCACAGTCTCAGCCACCAGTGGCAGAGGGACATGTGTTACACAGGATTAGATTACAGCCCTGGGTCATTGTCGTGTCTTTCCAGGGATGGGGAGAGAAAGACTTAAAGAAGGAGCACTCATTCCAAATTCTCTCTTTGACTCCCGCCTGGATCTCCTACTGACCCCGGAGCTCGGAGTGCAGCCAGCAAAGGACCATGTCTGGTGGAGTGATTCAAATCAGCGACAGCAAAGAGCTGAATAAGGGGTTGTAGAGACCTCGGAACATTGTGGGCCTGGGCTCTGGGAGATGACAGTGATAGCAAAAGGAGCACAGGGCAGCCTGAAAACAAGGGTGAGAATTTTAAAATTGCGACTGAGCTGGTAGCCTGTGTAAAGCAGAAAGCGCAGTGGCTGGGCGAGATGGGTACTTGGTGGGATTTGTAAGATGGGCAGCAGAATTTGCCAAGTTGGGAGGAAAGTCAGGAGGGCACTGGAGTAATTGGATTTGGGAATGGCCAAAGCAAGGCTAAGGGTTTCAGCAGGCAGTGTGCAGTAGCAGGCCTCAAATCCAGCACCTTATACAGATGGCACGAGCGGTCTCAGTGAAGGTGTCAGAAGCTTGGCTCAGGAGCGGTTAGGTCCCGGAAAGAACTGGGGAGATGATAATCTCGGAGCAGATCTCCACTCACCAGAATGACTGAGAGTCTCCCTCCTTCACATGGCATGTCCCTCCATTCTCACAAGGATGACTGATACAGGCACTGATCGGAGTCTCACAGTGCCTGCCCTGGAAGAATTGGAGAAAATACAGAGTTACTTCTTGTTGGATTCTGCCCTCACTGTAGGGATGGTGATCCCTGTCGGTGAAGGTGAAGTTTTCCGGTTTGACTGTGCACAGACTTATGTGATTTTTCTGGGTCAAGTACCACAGCCAGAATGATGTGTTCTCAGTTCTGTGTACTTCTTGTTACTGTACAGTACACACTCATAGCAGACAACCTGAACACATGATCCTGACTCCATTATACTGAGAGAGTGACTGAGGTCAAACCAGACCTTTTATACTGGAATGTCACATGACTTAATGTCATATGACTGAGTTTCAGACTGGAATCGAATTGAGGGGCTCAGGGCATTTATATGTAGAATAACAGATAACTGGGAGTGAATTACAGACCGGAATCGAATTGAGGAGTTCAGTGGGGTTTATATATTGAATAACAGATACCTGGGTGTGAAATACAGACTGGAATTTAATTGAGGGGTTTGGGGTGGTTTGTATATTGAATAACAGATATTTGGGAACGAGTTACAGACTGAAATCTAATCAAGGGGTTTGGGCTGGATTATATATAAAATAACAGATATCCAGGTGCTAGTTACAGACTGGAATCTAACTGAGGGGTTCGGGTGGTTTATATATAGAATACCAGATCACCTGGAGTGAGTTACAGACTGGAATCTAACTGAAGGGGCTTAGCGTACTTATAGATAGAATAACAGATCCCCGGGATTGAGTTACAGATTGGAAACTAATTGAGGGGTTCAGGGTGGTTTATATACAGAATGACCGATCCCTGGGAGTGAGTTACAGGCTGGAATCGAACCGAGGGTTTGAAAGGACTGCTGCACACATGCTGTTACCTTATAGCCATACGGGCAGCTGCATTTGTAATAATCCGAGTGATCGTCTTGGCAGGTTCCTTGGTTCTCACACGGGTTCGACACACAGGGGTTACACTTTGCCAAGATGCTGAGTTCAGGTGGACCTACATCGAACAACATCATGGTGGTATGTGATACAGAAAGCAATTCCTGGTCAGCTGGGAGACTGAAGCACGTTTGAAGTTTAACATTCAAGTTTGAAGTATTGACAGCGAAGCCTTCCTAACTCCCTACCTACACTCACCTTTCCTGGCCCCATCCCCGCCTCTTCGACCTGTTTGTTTCCTCTCCACCTATCCTCTCCTCTATCCCTCTTCTATCCGCCTCCCACTCTCTCCCTATTTATTTCAAAACCCCCTTCCCCTCCCCCTTTTCTGATGAAGGGTCTAGGCCCGAAACGTCAGCCTCTCTGCTCCTATGATGCTGCTTGGCCTGCTGTGTTCATCCAGCCCTGCACCTTGTTGTCTCGGATTCTCCAGCATCTGCAGTTCCTACTATCTCTAGTTGTCAAATATGTCCATTTTATTTATATTCCTTGTCCTTGGGCAATGATCAGGAAGACCAGCTAGTATTCAAGAAATCTCTTCAAAGTTAGCAGTGGCCAATGAAATCAGTGTACTGAGTAACATCAAGTGGGACTAAGATACAGAATAGCATCTCCATGGTAACTTAAGATACCTGCATGAAACAACTGAGAACACTCCAGGTTTCTCCTCCAGCTCCATGACACTTTGGCAATCAAACCTTTATCTGCCTGGGTCCTGAACTCTGGAATTCCCACCCTTCAGTTCCCCACCTCACCTTCCTTCTGATGTTCACTAAAGGCAAACTCTTTGGTCAATCTTTGATCATCTGTCCTATTATTTCCTTATGTGTCTTAGTGTCAAATTAAATCTGATTCACCCTGCGTTGAAGTGCCTTAGGAAATTTCACTGTGTAAAAGGTACTATCTGAATGCAAGTCTGTTGCTGTCTGAACGGAACTGCATTGAATCAGGAGTTGATGTCAATCACTGTTGAATCTGGAGTCTACATAGTATCCCTACAGTGTGGAAACAGGCCCTTTGGCCCAATAAGTCCACACTGACCCTTGCAGCATCCCACCCAGACCCATCCTCCTATAACCCACACACCCCTGAACACTACAGGCAATTTAGCATGGCCAATCCACCTAGCCTGCATACCTTTGGACTGTGGGAGGAAACCCACGCAGACACGGGGAGAATGTGCAAACTCCACAGAGACAGTCGTTCAAGGCTGGAATCGAACGCGGGTCCCTGGACCTGAGAGGCTGTAGTGCAAACCACTGAGCCACCGTGCCACCCCTTTCCAGCACATGGACCAATGCTGAAGTCTATGTGCTAGAAAGCTTGTGGATGAACAGTTGAGGCCTGCTGCTAATTTTTCTGAAGAAGGGTCCCAATGCGAAACGTCAGCTTTCCTGCTCCTCTGGTGCTGCCTGGCCTGCTGTGTTCCTCCAGTTCCACACTGTGTTGTCTCTGACTCCAGCATCCACAGTTCTTACTAACTCTACTACTACATAGCTGTCCAAGGCTTTACACAGTGGCATCTGTCTAGGTGTAACTCAACATGGAGTCAGGGGATTCTTGTAGAAACGTAGGGGTTAGGGAAAGGCTCAGGGAGCTGTGGCGTCACCTAGCTTTCACCTCCAGGTGCACTGAGAGGAAAAGCAGCCTCCTTACCGTGACACTGGAATCTCTTGGCTGGAGTGGTTAAGAGGAGCTTGCCCTCCATGTCTCCTGGTCCAGCACAGCGGGCAATGCCAGGCTCTTTATACCCAGTTTTGACCCAGTCTGAAAGCCAGAGAAGATTGCAATCACAGTAGAGGGGGTTAGCTCCAATGGCACTACAAGAGAAAGAGGGAGAATGGAATTCAGGTAATGTTATACTCCATCTTATAACTCTAAATTAGTTACAGCACACTGCATTCTGTTAGCATCAGTAATAGTGCAATGGATAGCACTCTCACTCTCAGTCAGAAGGTTGTATGTTCAAATTTCACACTGAAGGTGATATTCCCAGTGCAATGTTAAGAGGGTGGTGCGCCCTTGGAAGTGATGTCAAATTGTTGTAATGGAGGTTGAGGATCCTGTGACACTATGAGAAAGGCAACTCTCTGAAGTTTCTTTCTCCTTCAGTAGTGCCAGAAACAGCTAAGCAGTTTTCCCTCGTGGAAACTTGTGGGATTGTACTCTGTGCAAAATTCCTGTCTATTCAATCTGTGAACTTTGAAAAGTAACTCAGCATATGCAAAGTGCTTTTGGGGAAGTTAAAATAAAAGGTTATGTTAAGCTTTTTCTCCAGTATAAAGGGGAACATTTTCAGTGTCACTGGGCCAAAATCCTGGAACTCCCCCCCTAATAGCATTATGGGGCTACCTACAGCACACAGACTGCAGCGGTTCAAGAAGGCAGCTCACCCCCACCTTCTCAACTATTAATGGACAATAAATGCTGGCGCAGCCTGCAACACCCGCGTCCCACGCGTGAATAACAAAAATGTTCTATGAGCATTAAAAAGACTCGTATTTGTCTACTGCCCTTCATAGCCTCAGGACGTCCTGCCTTTAAGCCAGTGATGAGCTGTTCAAATGGGGAAAGTCTTTGCTTGAATCTAAAAGCTATAAGTTAAAAAAAAGACCCATTCCAGTGATATGACCCCAGCAACTAGGTCCATATTCTAGTGCAGTACTGAGGGAGTGGTGCCTTGTCAAAGGTGCCATGTTTCAAATGAGATGCTAAACTGATGCCCCATCTGTTCTCTGGGGAGGATGAGAATGATTCCATGACACTCTTTTGAAGAAGAGCAGGACAGGTCTCCCTGATGCTCTGGCTAATATCTATCCAACAACTGAACAGAATCACAGAACTGTTACAGCACAGAAAGAGGCTATTCAGCCCATCATACCCACACCTGCTCGCTGAATGAGCAACACACTTAGCGCCAATTTCCAGCCTTCTACCCACAACTCTGCTAGTTATTCCTTTTCAAATAAAAGTATGAATTCCCTTTAGAAAGCCTTAATTGAACCTGCCTCTGTCACACTCTCAGGCAGTGAACTCCAGACCCAAACCACTAGATGCGTGAAGAAATCTTTTCCTCACTTCACATTTCCTTCTTTTTCCAATCACTTGAAATCTGTGCTCCTCATTCATGATCATTTCACAAGCAGGAAGAGCTTTTCACTTTCTCCTCTGTCCAGACCCCTTATGATTTGATACACCGTGAACATCATTAAAAACAGATTATCTGGTCCTTATCTGGATCTTGTTATATGCAAATGGACTGCTGCAATTCCCACACTACAACAGACTTCAAAAAGTACTTCATTGGCTGTGAAGCACTTCAAGGTGAGGAGGCAGCTATATAAATGCATTGTTGTTGATGTGTTTCTGGATTCCAGTCATGAGCCATACTGTTATTAGTGGAAACTGAGAAGTGCTTCATGGTTGACCCTGGTTTTGCCTTCATCTGACACCCATTTAATTCTCCTGGAATTAGACAAGAGAAGACCGTAGCCTCATGGTAATGTCAATCTACAGGCAGACCCTGGGTTTTGAATAGGTTCCATTCTTGAGTCCATTCACAAGTCAGATCACAATGCAGGATAATATCAAATAGCCCCCATTCATAAATACAGGAAACTTCCATCTGTCGAATCTTCAAAATTACTATTAATATACCCCTATATCGGATCACATTCAAAAGTACAAGCCTTTTAAGTCAGACATTCATAATCGAGAACCACCTGTACTTGTAATCCAGGCAAATGCTCAAGTCTACAGGTTCAAATCCCACTGTAGCTGGTGCAATTTAAAAATTAATGAACTAATTAAAAACCCATCTGGTTCACTGTGCCCTTTAAGGATTTCAGTCTGCTGCCCTGTGACTCCGGACTCACAGCAATATGGGTAACTGTAATTGCTCTCAAAGGGCAACTGGGGATGGGTAACAAATGCTGACATCATTAGTCACACCCACATTCTGTGAATGAATTAAAAAACATTGTCTGGAGTGAGGGAATTAGCACTAATGGGACCCTCCCCCATTCCACACCCAGACCCTCCCCCAGACCCGGACCCACACCCTCCCCCAGAACCACACCCTCCCCCCAACCCAGACACACACCCTCCCCCAGACCTGGACCCACACCCTCCCCCAGACCCTCCCCCAGACCCAGACTCACATCCTCCCCCAGAACCACACCCTCCCCCAGACACGGACCCACACATTCCTCCAGACCCACACCCTCCCCCAGCCCCGGACCCACACCCTCCCCCAGATCCACCCCCTCCCCCAGACCCAGACCCACGCCCTCCCCCAGACTCACACCCTCCCCTAGCCCCACACCCTCCCCCAGACCCAGACCCACACCCACACCCTTCCCCAGACCCAGACCCACACCCTCCCCCAGACACGGACCCATACCCTCCCCCAGAACTACACCCTCCCCCAGACCCAGACCCACATCCTCCCCTAGACCCGGACCCACACCCTCCCCCAGACCCAGACCCACACCCTCCCCCAGACACGGACCCACACACACACATGCATACAAACCCACACACAAGTAGGGCCATGGTTCCACACACACATACGTACACAGACTCTCACACATTATGTCCTCTCTCTCTGTCTCTCTCTCTCACACACACACACACTTTCTCTCTCACACATACACACACACACACAAACATAAGCACACTCTCTCTCTCTGTCTCTCTCTCTCTCACACACACACACACGTGCACACACACTCTCTCTCTCTCTCACACACACGCACTCTCTCTCTCTGTCTCTGTCTCCAAGAGGACCCAACACTGACACCAGAACATCAACAGCTGCCTGGAGCAAGGTCAGTCTGTGATATAGGTCAGAGCTCTGGCAGCTACTGCTCTAACTCGCATAGATCTTTGCGTGGACAGGTGTAAAGAAGCTTTAGGGAACCAGCGACCTATGTTTAATCTGCATTATCAAATGAACATTTCTTTCACTTACAGATGTGATAAAGAGGCCACATCAGCAAAGATTCCCTTTGGAAGTGTAGAGATGTCATTCCCATGTAGTGACCTGTGTGGGAAAAGGCAGAAGAAGAGATATTGGTGCCATAATGAATGATGGAGTAATAGAGCCATACAGCACGGAAACAGACCCTTCGGTCCAACTAGTCTATGCTGACCATGTTCCCAAATTAAACTAGTCCCACTTGCCTGCATTTGGATATATCCCTCCAAACCTTTCCTATTCATATATTTATCAAAATATCTTTTAAATGTTGTAACTGTACTGTATCCACCACTTCCTCCAGCAGTTCATACCATGCATAAACCATTCTCTGTGTAAAGAAGTTGCCCTCATGTCCTTTTTAAATCTTTCTCCTCTCACCTTAAAAATATGCCCCTAGTTTTGAACTCCCCCAACCTAGGGAAAAGGCACTTGCTATTCATCTTACCTATGTCCCTCAAGATTTTATAAACCTCTACAAGGTCACCCCTCAACCTCCTAGGCTTCAGTGAAAAAATCTTAGCCTATCCAGCCACTCCTTATAACTCAAACCCTCCATTCCAGGCAACATCCTGGTAAATTGTTTCTGAATAATATTCTTCCCGCAGCAGGGAGACCAGACCTGCTCACAGTGCTCCAGAAGAGGCCTCACCAATATGCTGTACAACCTCAATATGACGTCCCAACTCCGATACTCAGAAGGTCTGAGCAATGCAGACAAATGTGCTAAACGTATTCTTAACCACCCTGTCTACTTGTGACACAAATTTCAAAGAATTATGTACCTGAACCCCTAGATCTTTCTGTTTGACAACACTCCCCAGGGCTTTACCATTAATTGTACAAGCCCTGTCCTTGTTTGTTTTACCAAAGTGCAATACCTCGCATTTATCCAAATTAAACTTCATCTGCTACTCCTCAGCCCATTGACCCATTTGATCAAGATCTCTTTGAAATCTTAGATAACCTTCTTCAACTGTCCACTTTACCACCAATTGTGGTGTCATCCGCAAACTTACTAACTACGTCTCCTATATTCTCATCCAAATAATTTATATAAATACAAACAAAATTGGACCAAGCACCGATTACCTGTGGAACACTGCAGGTCACAGGCCTCCTGTCCAAAAAACAACCCTCTACCATCACCCACTGTTTCCTACCATCAACCAATTTTGTATCCAATTGGCAAGCTCTCCCTGAGTCCCATGTGTTCTATCTTTATTACCCTTTGGAACCTTGTCAAAGGCTTTACTAAAGTCCATGTAAACAACATCTATAGCTCTGTCCTCATCAATCTTTTTGGTTACTTCCTCAAAAAACTCAATCAAGTTTGTGAGACACGATTTCCCACACACAAAGCCATACTGACTATCTCTGATCAGTCCTTACCTCTCCAACTGCATGTAAATCCTATCTTTCAGAATCACTTCCAACAGTTAACCCATCACTGATGAAGGCTCACAGGGCTGTAGTTCTCAGGCTTCTTCTTACAGCTTCTCTTAAATAAGGGCACAACATTAGCTACCCTCCAGTCCTCCAGTCCTCCAGCACCTCACCTATTGTTATAGATGATACAAATATTTCTGCTAGTTGCTCTTATGTACATTAGAATGTGTACTAAGCATTCAGGAGACCAGATAAGACAGACATGACTGTAGTTTAAATATAGAATTCCAATAGTTCAACCCCCTTCCCATTCACTCCCAATGTACAGAATCCCAATAGGCCAAACACCTTTCCATTCAATACCAATGGATCAATCCCCTACCCGTTCAATCCCAGTGTGTGGAATTCCAATTAATCAAAACCTCTTCCCAGTCACTACCAGTGTACACAATCCCAATAGGCCAAAGTGTTTCCCAATCCATTTAAGTGTACAGAATTCCAATGGATCAAACCCCTTCTTGGTCACTCCCAGTATACCAAACCTTTTCACATTCAATGCTCCAAGGGTCGATGTGGACTTGTTGGGCCGAAGAGCCTGCTTCCACACTATAGGGATTCTATGATCTATGATTCTATTCTATGATCAATGCATTATACAGAATGGGTTAAGTTCTTCCCAATCATTCCATTAAGAGCAAACACATAAACATAATTCCATTGAGCACAATATTGGTGTACCAATTTAAGGAAGAATACAAATGCATTGAAAAATTTTCAGAAAAGGTTTACCAATCTATGGAATGGGTAGGTTTTCTTATGATGACAGGTTGGAGACACTAGACTTGTATCTCTGGAGTTTCGAAGAGTAAGAGGTAACTTGATTGAAACATCTAAGATCCTGAGGGGTCTTGACAGGGTGGATGTGGAAAGGATGTTTCCTCTTTTGGGAGAATCTAGAACTCAGCATCGTTGTTTAAAAATAAGGTGTCGCCCATTTAGACAAAGATTAGGCAACTTTTTTTTCTCTCTCACAGAGTTTTCGGAACCCTCTTCCTCAAAACGAAGTGGAGGCAGAGTCTTTGAACAGAGCTAGGTCAATTCTGGATAAGGAAGGGGATGAAAGGTTATCAGGGGTATGTGGGAGTTTGGAGGAATCATATTAGCCACAATCTTATTGAGTGGTGGAGCAGCTTGAAGGAGCTGGGTTGCCTACCCATTCTCCTAATTCGTATATTTGTATCTCCTCCTTCTACTGGATCCTGCAAAAACTACTTATCCACCAGCACAGAGTGCTGAGTGGGCCCTTTCACTGTGAAGGATCTCACATAAACCTGTTCCCCTGCTGCTGTCACTGCCTCCAGCCTCGCAACCCTCCGAAACCTCAGGGCTACCTCAAATTGGGTCCTCTAGCGTATCCCACCATCCCACCAAGTGGTGTCCTTGCAATCAGCTGCCAAGGCCCCTAAGTTCTAGAATTCCCCTCTTCCTCCTCCTTGAAGATTCTCCTTAAAAATCTATCTCCTTGGCCAATCTTTTAGTCACCTGCCTTAGAAGCACAGCATCAATAGAAACATAGAAAATAGGAGCAAGAGTAGGCCATCCAGGCCTTCGAGCCTGCTCTGCCATTCAGTATGATCGTGGCTAACCTATATCCTTAGACTGCAGGTCCCGGTTCTGGACTCCCCAGTCACTGGGGCTATTCATCCTGCGTTTACACTGTCTAGTCCTTTTATAATTTTACACGTTTCTATGAGATACTTCCCTCATTCTTCTAAACTGTAATGAACATAATCCTAACCCATCCAGTCTCTCTTTGTACATCAGTCCTGTCATCCCAGGAATCAGTGTCAAGAGTCTTTTAAGACACTTGAAATTAAATGCTGTCTGATTATGCGAAAGATGTTTTTCTCCTTGCATACTTATTTACTGTTTGTTGTTGGATTTATTATTGAATCTCTTATCTTCATGACCTGTAGCATTGGACTCCTCAATAGTGAGAATGCCATCTCTACATCTAGCCTATCAAGCTCATTCATCATTTTAAAGAACTCCATAAGGTCAGCACAATGCCCCAGCGTTCAACCCATCCCAATAGTTATAGCTTCAATTCTGTGCAAGATTTTGCATTTTCTCTAGCGTTTCCATTTCCATTTATAGGTGAGGCTTGGTCTGCATTAAAATGTCAAATTAACAGACTGTGCTTCAATCTCTCTGAGTCAGTACCTTACTCAGTGAGCGATGACGGCTGTAATTACTAAACTCTCTACTGCCAGGAGCACTCAGCAGGTTGTCAGGTGACACTGTTCCTGAGTGTTAATGAAAGCACTGGCCTGTTAAATAATTTGCCAGTTTATGGCTGAATGGGGATCTGGACTGTGGAAACTGTTCTCTGAACAGCAGGGCAGTACACAGCATACAGAGTAAGGGAATCTCTCCAAAAAGGTACAAAAACAAGGAAGGGGAAACAAAATGAAATGCCCATGCTCTTCCCAAAGCTTTTTTATTGTTGTCTGAAGTGAAAACATTAAATCCCACGCTATGTCCCTTCATGACACAAGTGAAGAGGCATCTGAAATGATGTGTATTTGATGATGGTGATGGACTAATAGTGAACGAGAGATACTGAAAGGCAGATAGATGGTGAGAAAATGATGGGTGGCACGGTGGCTCAGTGGTTAGCACTGCTGCCGCACAGCGCCAGGGTTTGATTCCAGCCTCGGGCGACTGTCTGGGTGGAGTTTGCACATTCTCCCCGCGTCTGCCTGGGTTTCCTCCGGGTGCTCCGGTTTCCTCCCACAGTCCAAAGATGTGCAGATTAGGTGGATTGGCCAGGGGAGATTGCCCAGAGTGCCCAGGGGTGTGCAGGCTTGATTGGGTTAGCCATGGGAAATGCAGGGTTACAGGGATTGGGTGGGTCTGGATGGGATGCTCTTTGGAGGGTCAATGTGGACTTGTTGGGCTGCGGGGATTATACAATTCTATGAAGAGGCAGAGAGAAAGTGAGATTGACAGGGAAAGAGACACACACGGAAAATTGTCTACACCTTACTCTGAGATTGAGACCCAGTGTTCTAGTCTCCCTGTTTAGGGAAAACATGTCACAGTCTTGACCCTGCTAAGTCCATCACAAATTTTACTTTTCAATTTAATACATTATGTTTCAATGACATTACTTCTCATTCTTTGAAATTCCAAAGACAACAATCCCAGGCCATACAATAATCTTCTCATCCCAGGAATCAATGTCATGAATATTCATTGCACTCTATGGTAAATCCTTCCTGAAGTAAGGGGACCGGAGCTGCACACAATGCTCCAGATGTGATCTTACTAATGCCCTGTGTAACAGTCGTAAGACTTCTTTATTCTGATACTCCAATTCCTTTGTGCTAAAAGTTAACATACCATTTGCTTTTCCTAATTGCTTGCCTCATGTGCAATGTTAGCTTTCCGTTATAAATGTACAATGACATCCCTGGTTCTGTGAATGCCAACAATTTTCAGTCTCTCAACATTTAAAATAATATTATGCTTTTCTTGTTTTCTTTCCAAAATAGATGATTTCCATTTTCTTGATAAGTCAGTTAAGTGTCTATATCTTTCTGCAGCCTCTGTGTCCTCTTCACAGCTTAGCTTCCTACCTAACTTTGCATTATCAGCAAACCTGAATATATTACTCAACCATTGATTGTAAATAGCTTAGGCCAGAGGATTAACCCTTGGACACTTCATTAGTAATGTAGTGGCACTGTCATTAGACTATAATCAGAGGTTTGCTAATGTTCTGGGGAAATGGCTTAAAATCCCAGCATAGCTGCCGTTGGATTGTAAAACTCAATTAATAAGTGAAATTTGGAATTGAAAGCTAGTTTCGGTAATGGTGTCATGAAACTATCATCAATTGTTGTAAAAAATTCATTTTGTTTACTGCCGCCTTTTAGGCAAGGAAATCAACTGTTGTTACCTGGTCTGGTCTACATGTGACTCCAGACCCACAGCAATGTGGCTTACTCTTTACTGCTCTGAAATGTTCTATCAGGGCACTCAAACTGCTGTGGATATCAGATGGACTGCAGTGGTTCAAAAAGTGGCTCTTAACCACCTCCTTAAGAGCGAATCAGAATGGGAAACAAATGCTGGTTTTGCCATTGATGTTCAAATGCCATGATTTTTAATAATTAAAATCCAGTTAACATAATATTCAATATGTAACACCAATTCCATAAACCCGGATTCTGTGTAATGAGGTCTTGTAGCACTGTTAAAAAAACCCAAATACACCACATCCACTGGTTACCCCTAACTATCCTACCTGTTTCAATCTCAATAAATTTAACAGTTATAGCAACATAGAGATGTACAGCATGAAAACAGACCCTTCAGTCTAACTCATCCATGTGACCAGATATCCTAGATAAATCTCATCCCATTTGCCAGCATTTGGCCCATATCCCTCTAAACCCTTCCTATTCATATACCCATTGGATGCCTTTTAAATGTTGTAATTGTACCAGCCTCCACCACTTCCTCTGGCGGCTCATTCCATACATGCGCCACCCTCTGCATGAAAAAGTTGCCCCTTAGATCCCTTTTAAATTTTTCCCCTCTGACCTTAAACCTGAACCCTCTAGTCTTGGACTCCCCTACCCAGGGGAAAAGACATTGTTTATTCACCCTATTCATATTCCTCATGATTTTATAAACCTCTATAAGGTCACCCCTCTGCTTCCAACGCACAAGAGAAAATAGCCCCAGCCTATTCAGCTTCTCCCTATAGCTCAAACCCTCCAATCCTGGCAACATCCTTGTAAATCTTTGCTGAATCCTTTCAAGTTTCGCAACATCCTCCCTATACCAGAATTGCACACAGTATTCCAAAAGTGGCCGAACCAATGTCTTGTTAGCCACAACATGACCCTCCCAACTCCTATACTCAATGTACTGACCAATAAAGGCTAGCGTACCAAACACTTTCTTCACCACCCTGTTTACCTGTGACTCCAGTCGATTTATAAAACACAATCTGCCTTTCATAAATCCATGTGGCTTGGCCAAATCATAAACAGTTTTAATAAATTTCCTGATATCATATCGTTATTCATAGTTTCCAACATTCACTGTTTCTATTACATCAAATAACTTGCTTAGTGTTTCTCTCATCTTAAGTAGTGAGTTGGATAATTGAATTTAATTATTAATTAATTATAAAAACAATTGAATAATAGTAGAAAGGCAAAGTCAAGGTGAGAGAAAGCACAGAGCCAAGAAAGAGAAAGTGATTGACAGAGGAACTGTTTGGAGAAATGTAACTGTACTTAAAATACTGGCTGTATACTTCATATATAACCTCTAAGTTTGCTGTGAGTTCCATTGTATGCAGCCATTATACTTGCGGTACAACTGATAATGAACAAATTGTCAGAGCGCTGTAAGAGAGCTAGCTACTGAAACAAATAGCATGGAGGAAGTAAGAAGAAACAGCAGACAGCAACTGTGAATTACTGCACAGGGTCATAACTGATGTGCATTTTTCACTTGCTGCTGTGGAACTAAAAGGAGGTATGGGACAGAATTGGATTTTTTTAACCTCCAAATGCAGCACCAATAAATAGTTACAGATTTAAATTTTTAAAACTGAGCAAATTAGAATAGGAAACTTGCAGTCATGCAGAGGAAAGAGTGCTACAAGTCGTATGTCAGCCTACATTCCACTGGGGATCAGAAACGCCAGAAAGGAGGCCAGGCCTTGAAAACTCTGTATTAAATGTTAGTTCTCAATAATACTTTTTCAGCAGGGTTCAAGGGGAGGGGGAGAATATTAATCATTATGTGACCACACTGATACATCTAGTTGATATCTGAGAGTGCATGTGAATGTGTGAACGGGAGTGGTAGACAGGACAGACTAAGATTGGACTCAGCAATATGACTTGCTGCCCAGGGTTTTTGGCAGGAGAACAAGGGACAGACAGAGGGTCAGGCCTTTCCGGAACTGTATTTCAGTAGCAATCTGGAGATGAGGAACCAGCGAATAAACATTACTTGCGACACTGATTTAGAAATTAGTATGAATCAAAAAATAACCTGCTTTTTAGAGATACTCCCTTGCCATTCTCCCTTCAGGCTCTGATCTGCTGTCACTGCCCATCCTCCAGGTCACTCAAAGTCAGCTAACACTACATAAAGGTGATTGTGTTTTAGACAGGCAATTAGTTACCATCACATCCTTCCCACCACAGCAGGACAGACTGATACTCAGATATAGGCAGCTCTGGTTGGTATTCACACACAAAGGGTACACATGGCTCCTTGGTAATTTGCTGCTCCAATTCCTCCTCTGTTCATTTATTTTCACATTCTGACTATCCTCCCTTCCCCCATCAAGGCACAGCCTGTTGTTCGGATGGAGCGACTCTTGAGTACAAAGCCACCAATTCCCTCATTTGCTGCTCTCCTATGTATTTCTGTCCCCTTTCATTTCCTGTCCCTTAGCCTTCGTGAGACATTAACAACAACATGCACTTATATAGCAACTGTAACATAGTAAAACATCCCAAATTTCTTCCCAGGAGCGTCCCAGACAAACCTGACACCGAGTCAGAAAGAAGGTTACAAGACGTACAAACAAAAGCTTGGGCAAAGACAGGATTTTAAGGTGATTCTTAAAGAAGTAAAGAGCGGCTTAGGGAGGGAATGCCAGAGATTGGGGCCCAGGCAGCAAAACGCACAGTTGCCGGTGCTCCTGCAATTGAAGTTCGGAATATTTAAGGGGCCAGAAGAAGAGGAGCACAGAGATTTTGAAGGGTTTTACGGCTGGTAAAGATTACATAGTTAGGGAGGGTGAGGAAATGGAGAGATTTGGGGCGGCATGGTGGCTCAATGGTTAGCACTGCTGCCTCACAATACCAGGGACCTGGGTTCAATTCCATCCTCGGGCAACTGTCTGTGTTGAGTTTGCACATTCTCTCTGTGTCTGTGTGGGTTTTCTCCGGGTGCTCCGGTTTCCTCCCACAGTCCAAAGATGTGTAGGCGAGGTGGATTGGCTATGCTAAATTGTCCATAGTGTCCAGGGATGTTTAGGTTAGGTGGGTTAGACAAGGGAAATACAGGAATACTGGGTCTGGGTGGGGTGCTCTTTGGAGGGGTGGTGTGGGCTTGTTGGGCCGAATGGCCTGTTTCCACACTGTGCGGGATTCTATGAAATGGAATTTGAAAATAGGGATGAGAACGTTTGAGGAGCTACTGGCCAATGCACTGGTTAATTTAGTGCCAAGTTAGACACACATCAATCCAGGGCTGAATGGTGATTTTAGCAACTCACCTCATGTTGGAGTCATAGTGTTGCAATGCAGTGAGGCCAATGCTCACTGGGAAGCCAGTTCACAGGGAGTAGTGTATTGGACCAAGTTACTGTTGGTTATTGTCAGTGTACTATTTATTGTCAGGAGGCCAATCAGCCCCTAGAGACCAGACCTGATCACAAAATCCACCCAACTGGTGGTTACTGTGTGGAAAAGATGGTGAGTATTTTCCAAACAGGACTTACAGGAGCCGGAGAGAGCGAAGACCCTGGAACGCTGAGACAGGGATACATCGTAAGGAATTGTAACTGAGAATCCTGGGAAAATAAAAAGCAGGGAAAGAAAATGGAGCAGTTAGATGCAGGTAAAAACAACTGGACTTTACTGTTCCTTGTCCCACAGCCCACCTTCTGTTCCCTTCTCCAGGTTCCATACCCTATGTTGATATCTCAGCTGTGACAGTGTGTAGCACCTGCACCTCTGAATGAGAGATGATCCCATTGACGCATAAAAACTTCTGAAAGGATTTGACAGGGTAGAATCCTCCCTTTGCACTGGGTTTTTTTTTACAGCAGCAGTCAGGTCTCTGGGATAAGTCAATTAGGGCGCATCCACCAATGGAATAAACACACAATGATTTAAAGGGGCAGCCTCACAGTTGTCAAAAATCAGACTGAACTGGACACCAGCCATTGCTGTCTCGATTTATATGACCCCAAACTCTTGACTAGTGACCCCATTGGGGTTTGCAACCCTCAATTTAGTGAACCCTATTAAACAGAAAATAATGGTGTGTGTTTTTTTTAGAAAAATGACTTCATTTGCTTATCATTTCTAAAGCTATTGGAATTGGAAGGGAAGAAATGAGCCTTTCAAAGCTCCGAGAGATGAGAGGGCAGGAGGTCATGTGATGCAATCTCGAGGAATACACGCAAGCAGAGTTAGTGACCCTGGACAGAAGGAGGTGGTGTATCAGTACCATCCAGAGCTACAGGTACTCACAGGGTAGTCAGCTGACTCATGTTGATGAAAGACGTGTTGGTCAACGAACTGATCCTGTTGTTGCTCATGTCCCTATGGTGGGAAGAATGAAATGATTAACATCAAAGATTAAAAATTGCAGCGAATACGAGATTGAATCTTGATTTTTGTCGGGGAAATGTTGGCACATGGTCCAAATTAGGGGACCAAATTCACACATTCTACTGGAAACATAGGCTGTTAACTTCAGCAGATGATGGACAGCTGGAATATGATACAAAGGGACAACAAACCTGCCTGAGTCAAAAGGTTGTGGGTTTGAGACCCACTACAAACACGAAGAAATCCCTGCTCCAAGTACAGTACTGAGGGAGTGCTGCACTGCGAGAGATGTTGAATTTTAGACAAGGAGTAAAGTGAAGCCCCATCTCAGGTGGATGCCAAAGATTTCATGGCCACTATCTCAAAAAAGAACTGGGGTGTCCTGGTCAATATTTATCTGTCAGCCAGTGTCACTAAAATCAGATTGTTGTCTCTGCTGTTTGTGGGAGTTTACTGTGTGCAAATTGGATGCCACTTACAACAGTAACTACACTTCAGAACAGCACCCATTCCAGTAATTGTGATTGTGAACAAAGAAAATCCTGAGTCTTCAGCACTCAGGGCTATTTTGGTATATCTACAGCTTAACCAATGTTGTTTCTAGGTAAGTTTGAATTATTGCCCATGTAAGGATCCCATACCACTATCACCGGTAATGACTGTGTGTGTTTGTGTGTGTGTGTGTGTGTGTGTGTGTGTGAGAGAGAGAGAGAGAGAGTGTGTG